AACCACATCCAAAAGCCTCTGCAATTCCGAACAACAGTCAAACGCGAGGCGTATTGAATAACATGCAAAATATTATATTTTTGCGCCTTTTAAAGTTTTCATGGAATCCACACTGAATGCTCGAGCCCTATTGCTTGCCAGTCCATGCAGAATTGTCGTAGTACTTGGGGATAACACGATGGATTTGGAACCGATCTGGTTCGAGGCGCATTCTTCTCAACGCGTTACTGACATGCGAAACACCTATTTAAATCACACCTGCTTAGGGGCTTATAAATGAGCAGTCCAAGGGTCTTAGCTGCCTGGTCGGATGTCAGTCGATGTTATTTGCTTCGCCAAAGCTATGGTCATACCCTCACGTTTTTCTCCGAAAACGATGGAACCTATCAATCCGTTCCTTATTCTTTGAAGTACTTGCTGCTTCGTCAAAGCCTTTCTCTCTCTCTGCCTTTCGCGAGTGCAAGCAACAGTTGACGCGAAATTCGGAAATGGCTCAAGCGGAACCTTTCCCTTTATCGAGTAGCGTTATCAGAGCAAGACTGTTGAAAATGCTCTGGTTTGGAATCGAAACTGATCTGCCCTATTCATAAACTTCCCAATCTGGGCAGTATATCAAGATCTGTTTGATAATCACAGTCATGGGGAGGAGGGACAACAACTAGAGCCATGAATTGAGAGAGGGCATGACAAGATATGGCTCCTGAATCAGCTCCTAATGCTCTCAATTTTCTAAATAAACCTAGTTAAGTGTTAAATGACCCATGAATTGAATTTTGATCATACCAAACCAATGCAGATAAGTGAAGTTTAAGCCTCGCAGGTCACCCTTCGGCCCTCTCCTGTCCTGACAATCGCTCATCGACCACCGTGTGTGGTGCTTGCATTGCTTACTTTTTGCCACAAATCTTCCTTCCAACTTTTAAGTTCTCTTCGGGCCGCTATTTTGATGTCCATGATTTTGCTACACTGTGCGTGTTTTCTTTTGAGCGCCCAGATAGTCCCCAAACCGTATCTGGTTGACCAGTCTACTTCGTATTCCCTCACGCTGTACAAACCTGGTCTGATCAGGAAAATCTTTTAGGACATGGGCGCTTTTTCAGAACCGTTCATTGTATGTTCTTGTTAAAGGGACACGCGGGCAAGCATAAAACTGTGATCATATTTTTTTCTGAGCGACTTGGGGAGCGTGAAAGTGTATGTGGAATCAATGGCCCCTGGTTCGATCCCCACTGAAGACAAGTTTGCATTTCTTTGATTTCCACTTTCTTACGCTTATGTACGCGAAATTTCACTGAGCAAAAACCGCCTGATATGTAGCTAACGCTACAAATGCTGTGGACATTGGATATGCAGAAGCACAACTTCCTGAGAGAAGTTTTCTGCCATTTTTTGGCAATCACACGACAAAAAATTATCGTCACTTGTATGATCCACGCAGGTACCGCTACAAAATGAAAAGAAAACCGATTTAATTCACATCCTGAACGACTTTTCTAGTGAGGAATGTTGCATTTTGGGGATGTCAAGCACTTTTTTATTTTCATTCAACTCCTTTTAGGCGCTCTCGGGCGAGGTTCTGTGAAATTTTTAATGTTCTCGTTGTGTTACAACTTTAGGTGCTTCGTCCTATGTGTTATGGGTGATTTTTGAGAGTACTTTCCGGTATCGCGATCAGTCCTGCACTAATGTCCGTCACCCGTCCCAAAACTGGCCATGGTTAATCAATGTTGTGTCTGGAAAAGAAGTGCAATGTGTTTCCCCTTATCCGCATTTTTTCCTCCTTCGTTGCAGGCCCAAATGCTTAGGTTCGAAAGATATCTAATCCTTCGATTCCATCAATTTCGGAGACACTTCATTATAATCCTTTTTTGGATGATTGCTGTAGCAGAAAGCAAGATCTGACAAAGGGAAGCTTCCCATCACAGACCTACACCAGGTCGGGACTTTACTTTCGATTTTTCGCAATGATCTGAGTATTTGCGTAGATATTTTGCTGTGAGACTTTGAAGCGTTTTGATTTCCAGGTGTAGAATGAACGTGTGGACCGTGGGACCAGGAGACCTGGCGGACCATTTTTCGGCGATCCACATGACAAAGCAAAGCAGTAAGGACCACAGGTATGGAAGCCGGTCTTCTCATCGTTCATTTATAACCTTTCAGGCGTTTTTTTTTCTTTTTTTTTCTTGATTATTTGTCTAGACAGTTTCATCACCACTTGATCAAACCCTTGAAACCTCCACCAGGCACCATTCCACTTCTCGCAACCATCCAAATCCACAAATCCACAATCCAACGATCCCGTGGGCAACGTGAGGTTGACCTTGCCTGAAATCGGGATGGGAATAGTTAAAGGACGCTTTAGTGATGGCAATGATTTGGTCTTTTTTAGTCGTGTTTACCGTAGAAGAAAAAACAGTACTAATGTTTATTATCGAGTTCAGTGTAACTGCAAACAAAATGAACGATAATACGTGACTGTGAGAAAGGAAAGACAGTTCTCTGAGGCAGCAATATTTCTTAAGAATAAACTTATTGGGCTGTATCGCCAATTGAATCACTTCGGAGACAAATTACAGGATGGAGATGTGGGTCGACGGCTGGTGGACATGCAGGTGAAGTGGTCCGAGAGACGGGCACAATTGGACAGAACAAGGACGCAGAAGCAGACAGTTTGGAGGGCAGGCGATACGGACAAAGCTGGGAGATGATGTCGAGGACGTCGACGGGCAGGTAACGGTGTATTCAGGGAATTGAGAGCAAGACGGAAGGGTGTGTGCGCAAGAACTACACTTAGGGGCACGGACGTAGAGGT